GAATCCATAATTACAATTTATTAATATCATTAATTCGATAAATACTATACTACTTATACTACATAAAAATCAATAAATACAAATTACAATAATAAATAATTTATTCGATCTAAATTTATTATTATAAATCTGATCGTTTCGTTACGATTCGATAGATGATATTTTAATAATAACGTCTGAATTAAAGTTAAGAAAAATAAACTAGTATAAAATATTACGTTGACGATAGAAACAGATAGGAATAAAATACCTATAATAAAAATCATTGTACGTTAGAATAATATACGAATTCCTCTCTCTTTCGTATAATTTCGTGCATTAAATATCGTAATAACCAGAATACTTTTATTTGGTATCATAGTTATTCCCAATTAACCAGCACAGGTTAAAACTTAACTTTTAACGCGGGCGAGCAACAGATAATAGCTTTCAACCCACCGCATCACGCGGGAGAGATCGCATCTGTGGTATTTCATCGTGTAACTCGTTTGCGCCCGAGTTTCACGAGTCGTGCGATTAAATGCCGAAATTTTTTTTAAATTCCCATCGTTGAAATCGAATTTATCCCAAAATAAAAACTTCTCGACAAAGTTTTCTCGCGTCGGGGGAAAAAAATTTCTCGTGTAAATATCAATATCGATCTTACTATCCGAAGGTACACGAGCATAATCCCCGGCCCCATTACCATCGAATAGTATACATTTAATGAACGCGCAAAATTTACGATCAATCAGAGAGTACGAGAAGTACGTAAATACGTATAAAGCGATCTTATAAACCGATCAAGAGAACGCATTAACAACGTTTACGAATATTTCGATCCGATTGGCCACGAAGAGAGGCAATCTTTGTCTATCGGGGACAAAGTTATCGGGGATAAGTTTGCCGAGGGATCTGGAACTCGGCGTGGCAACTCGGTAATTGCAGTTAACGTAATTCCCGCGCTAGTTCGGACGTCTTAGGCGTAACTTCGTCAACCGTACGGAGGAGGAGGAGGAGGAGGAGGAGGAGGAAGGGGAGGGCGGAGAGAGGGGTAATCTCGTAGCAAACAAGACAAACCGTAACAAAAGGTCACCACGAGCCCATCCGCCACCTACAGCTCTGAAGAGCGGCATCGAGCTCAACAAGTTTGCGCGGAGCAAAGGAACAGAGACACGGACAAACACGGTTGGGTACATTGGCGGGCTGCACGGTACACGGGCGCGGCTTTGCGAGTGTGAAGAGAAAAGAGGGGAGGGGGAGAGGAGGATGGTGAAAGGAAGAAAAGGACGAAACCGGGGGGGCGAGGATGGGTTGGTTACTTGAAAAACGAGAGTTGAATGAATGGACATTCATTCAAAAAAAGCCTCTTCAACGTTGCGTACTTTGAGGCAGAGCGACGTGTATGAATATATATATGTGTATATGTGTATACCACCTCTACCATCCACGGACGATTCACAAGGCTCCAAGTGAAAAGAGGAAATGGGGGAAGGCCGGTGATGTAGAGCACGGTAGAAAAAGCTTTCTCCCGAAATCGATTGCGCCTTCGCTCGAGACCGTTCGGGCTAATTCGGCCAGGATCGGTTGATTTCAAAAACGTTCGATCTTGCGAGCAGACGCGGTAAACGCGTTTTTTCTTTTCTTTTCTCATTTTAAAAGAGTCTAAAAAGGGGGAAGGGAGACAACGTTTCGTTTCGAAAGTTTCTTCTTCTTCTTCTTCTTCTTCTTCTTCTTCTTCTTCTTCTTCTTCTTCTTCTTCTCGTTCTTCTCGATTAACGATATCGGGGAGAAACGGATCGATAACGGTTGAAAACGGTCACCGAGACGGATGGTGAAACTGCGAGACAATTCGTTAACCGCGTTATTCGAGGTATTTCCTTGGGAATTATTGTCGTGGCGCTTAACATGCGCCTGTATATCACCATTGGACTATCAAGATAGAGTAAAGCTTGGTGCCTCGTAAGTCACCGAGTTCCTCCTGGGAGGTGCACGCCAACTTAGCTAGGTAGATAAGGGATAGGTTGAACGATTGGTTGATTTCGTCTCTCGGAGGGAAGGGGGAAATTTCATTGCCTTGATCGAATATGAGCCGGTGATGACCGAGGGCAAAGAAAGAAAAAGGAGCCAGACTTTCTTTCCTTCTCCTCCTCCTCCTCCCCTGCCCTTGTAAAGTGAATTTTAAAAGGCATTTTTTACGAATAAATCTGGGACGGGATAAGCGAGAATTTCTCTAATCCAAGATCGTACTCGGGACCTTCTTCTCTCCTTACAACTTGTTACGATCGTGTTTTCCTTACGTAGAAAGTGGAATTTGTTGCTGTCATGCGGGGTTATTACGTCATAACTTGTCTCCGGGAGAATCCCATTTTCGAAAATCCTCTTTCGTCGAGAGACGAGAGAACTCGCTATTCCGTCTACTTAGAGCGCGATAGTGACCGAAAGTTAATTGGCGAAAAAACGAAATAGGAAAAAAGAAAGAGCTCGGTCGTTTCGAACGAATACCTGGAATTGGCGCGGTCCAAATGGAGAAGCCGAGCTTTGAGAACTAATTATGATAAGGAGCAATAGCCGTTGTCAGGTTCCTTTATCCGGAAAGAAAGTTGGGAGGGAGGTACGTAGGAAAGTACGCGAACTTAATTATCAGGCAAAGTTCCAGAGGAGAAGGAAAGAGAAAGAAAAGAAAAACAGGCCTATAAAGTCGCTTTTGACATCGGGGAACAATGGATTCGAAGGTTTCCCTTTCCGTTGCTCCATTGGGAGTGAAGGAAAACAGGTTGGGGGAGGTTCTCGAGTTGGCCGTTGCCCGGTTCTCGCCAAGTTGCCGTGGCGAAACTCGGGAGCGGGCAGGCTAGAAAAGACTGGCCCACGACGAGGCACGTCCCGAGGGAATCCAATCAGAGCGAGGAGCATGCTCGAAGCGTCTAACCTCCGCCAACCTCTCGAGCACAAATCTCGAGCACCTCTCGACGAGGCTCGACGAATGGCCGGAATAAGATTTACAGCATCCACCCTGGAAAAGAAAATCCGGGTCTCCTATTCAGCGGGGAGCTGTCAAAGTGTAATCAAGAAATTCTGATTACACCGCCGCTGATCGATCACGCTTGCCGGGATTCTATCCCGCTGCGAGCGCCGGGACGCGGCCGAGGAATGTTCACCACGTGACTCGAATACCTGTCGCGTTGCCCCAATCGAAAATATCTTATCCAATGGGCGAAACCTATCCCGGATTCCAACGAGCGTAGACACGCGAGAGAAACCCTCTCGTCCAATAATTTCATTAAATTCTTCCATCTCCCTCTCTCCCTCTCTCTATCTCTCTATCTCGTCACGTACGTAACAGCGAGCGAGCACGACTCTCGTTGATCCATATTTCTGCATTGTATTCCGACGTTTGCTTCCCTCCCGCCATCGACATCACCGCCACCCTTCGTCCCCGATCCGATCGATTCGAGTTCCATCGAAAGGACGGTCGCCCGTGACGAAGACAGCGCGAGATCCAAGTGACGTCGAAAAAGAACGAAAAAGATCAATACCCACGCGTCCTCCATTCGTTGACCCTGACTCCTCCACGAGGCGACCCCATGATAAAGGTCCTTTTCCATCCACGACGAGAGGGGGAATGTGGGGTAGGAAAATTCGGGCGAGTTGAAGATCCGTGTGCGTGTGTACAGCCACCGAGGTAATGTCGTCGTCACGCGATTCAATCACGTAGCATAACATTCCATTAGACCATTAACACACACGCGCCGAGTGTGTTGGATTTGGAAACGCACGTGGACGTGCGTGGAGATGCGTCCGCGTTGCTGCCGTGCAAATTTCGCGAAACAGGCCAAGTGTAATTGGATGCTCGGCTCATTTCGGAATTTTTTCGATCGACGGTCGCTCTGTTTCTACTTATTGTCGGGTAAAATGTATACGGGGGAAAGCATTTAATGGCGATAGAGCAATTCTTACCGAATTGAAAATTTAGATCGAAATAATTTCGAGGGCGCGTTTCGATCGAATTAAAATTCGATTTCTCTTTGCGTTGATATTACGTTTCGAGGAAAAAAAGTACGATGGAGAAATCGTCGTTTGCTAACTTTTATCGCGTTGATTCAATTTTATCATTTATTACTTTTTCATGCGAAGAAATCAAACATTTTTTTTATAAATAAATACGTAATAATATCTTCGTAATAATATCAACGTTTAATAATTTAATCGATTAGATGGATCGAATTTCCGTGGGAAGAAAATCGATAATCTAATTTTCCGCGTTTCAGGATCGCCTCTTTGAAGAGTGCACACGGTCAACGCGTGGAAATCCTTAGGGCAAAGCCAGAGATCAGCCAGGGGACTAAATCACGAAGACTCATGGCTTTGCAAACGGCGCGAAGAGGATCAAGAGTACAAGAGCCGAGTCGCTGTTTGATCACCTGCAACGTTGAAACCAAAGGGAGCGGGGTAACGAGAATATTCCGTGACAAAGGAACGACAATTATTTTCGAAACGCGGAAAGAACGATATACACCGAGTTATTTGTATTGTCGCGTGAACGCGATAACGTTTCGAAGCAATAGCTCGAAACTTAGGTATCTGTAATTGTTCGCGAAGAAAGTCGACGCGACGAACACAATAGGAGCGTAGCACCACGTCGAGGAACTAATCCCTCCACAAAGTCGATCGATCGTTTTATGTGCGTGTATATATATACATACACACACACACACACACATATATATATATATATATATATATATATATGGATGGAGACAGAATAGAGAGAATATGTTTGGTTTTGGAGATGCGCGGAGGAATCCGTGGAAGCGGATTGAAGCGGCGACAGGGTCGTCCGGCGAGGAGCGTGGACAATGGAGCATCTCTCGGCGACTCGTGCGCGACCCCGAAGAGAGCGTTATCGAATCGAGGATCTTCGCAGATTTTCGGGGAGGTTCGTTCGGCCACGGATTCTCCCGGGCAGCAGCCGGCACGGCTCAGTGTACTGCGTGGCAGCCTGGACCGCAGGCGCCTCCAGTCGACGGTAGTAGTTGGCGGTTGCGTGGCTGTGCCGATGCCAGTGCGCCTTTCGCAGCGGAAACTCTGCGTGCTTTTTGGGACGCGTTCCACCGCGTCGAGGTATTCTGCCCGGCTCGAGGGACATCGCGGAGACGAGAGAGCGAAGATCGCTCGGTATCACCTGGCGGCACCTCCACCACCACCACCACCACCACCAGCAGCTGATCGCAACCCCGGTGGCTGATGAGATATCCGCGCGTTCGAGCAAGATGAAACTCGAAGAGATGGAGCGCGAGAAGACTTTGGGAAGGCTCGCGAGGAGGGACGGAGTGAGCTCGGTCGAGCGAGGAGGGAATTGATCGATCCGATCGATCGATTGCGCGGTCGAGGATCGATCGATATTTCTGTGGGACGAAGAGGGTGGCCGAGTGGACGGCTGGTGGAGCCGTGTGAGCGTTTGCACGCGGATGCTGGGTCCGATTCGTGGTGCGCCGACCAGCAGCCGCGTATGTGTGTGTGCCGTGTGCACGGGAGATGTACGACAACGCATAGACCGTTACCGCGATACGTCGGTGTCGTGCCGCGCGATTCTTCGTTGGTTTCGGTGCGCGGTGTTCGTGGCCGAAAGTAAGTAATAAAGGGGGACCGGAGGAGGAGGACGGCGGAGGACGGCAGCGGGAAGGTATTGCGCGTCCGGGGCGCGAGGAGGAGCGAGGAAGAAGAGAGAAAGAGGGAGGCCTGGAGAGAGTAATGATCGTGACGACGACGGTCGCGCGAACAAATGAACACCTCGGCACAGCGTTCGGGATATTCCAAGTGAGTAGTCGGAGGGGTTAGCCTGGATCTTCTCTCTCTCTCTCTCTCTCTCTCTCTCTCTCTCTCTCTCTCTCTCTCTCTCCTTTTTTTGGAACATTTGATCCTCGTTCGACGCCTCGTTAAAAGGACAGACAGTTTCGCTCGATCGAGATCTCGGAGAGAAAGAGAGGAGAGGATCTCTCTTATTATTAGGAAAAGTTTCTCTCGAGGGCTAATCGAAAGGTAGTGGAAGGGACGATTATTCGATGGGTTGGCCTCTATCTTCTCGCGGAGTCAATTTCATTTGCTACGTTGGCTCGGAAAGAAATCCTTCGAACCGAAAATTGAGATGAAACCTATTTTACCCAAACTGGTTCGACGAATCCTCGGGGGAAATTCGATGAATTTCCCACTCTCTCTCCCCCTCCTCTCGTCGCGTCGCTACTTGTTCGCAATTTTCGTTCCGTTTCGTAGGCTCCTCGCGCTCGTTCGAAACGCGGGATACGCGTTTCCCTTGGACGGGCGAGTTTGGCGCGAAATCCAACGCGCGGTTGGCATTGAACCGGCCCAATAACCGGCGCATCCTCGAGCTAGGTTCGTGCTTAACGAGGATTTCTCTCGCGGGTGAAACGCGCCGCTAAAAATCTCTTTTCGTTCCAACGCTTGGCAAACTTGGCCGCGTTTAAACGCGGAGTCGAGTCGGCCTTCGTCGTCGTCGTCGTTCCTTCGAATAGCCTTTGCGATATCGTGGCTATTATCGTGCGATAACGATTGTTCGGATCGCTTCTCTTTTTCTTTCTTTCTTTCTTTCTTTCTTTCTCTCTATCCGAGAGAAATACATTACATCTTGCTCGAAAGAAGCGAGAAGAAGCGAAGAGGGAGAGGAGAAAAAAAAAGGCAATTTCTCGAAGAAAAATGCGTGGAGATAGAAAAAAGAAAAGGAGAAAAAAAAAACAATCTCCACAGACAACGGGTTTCGAGATAACGAAATCTTCTCGAGTCTTATCAGTCCGGCGAGAAAACTTGCGGATAAATGGGAATTGAATATCCGAGGCCGAGAAAGATAGGGAAAGATCGGTGTAGAACCGAGATAGAGATATATCGGGGAATAAAAGTAAATCCGAGAATGTGGACTTCCTCGTACACCTGTACAAGGAGGGGGGGGGGCGTGGGCGGCAAGTTTTCTCGATAACGTTGCGGCTTGTACGGCGGAACGAGCTATTCGTCTCTCTTACGTTCGAACGACGGAGAAGCATTAATAATCCCTGATTCGACAACGGTTCTCGAAAAACGGTGTTGCGTTATTTATGCGATAAAAACGACACGATACCTCGTCCTGCCTCACTCTCTTCCCTTCTTTCTTCCTTTCTTTTCCTTCTTTTCGTCCGAGAGATTTCGTTTCTCTCTCTCTCTCTCTCTCTCTCTCTCTCGATCGATCAACCCGATCCGTAACGTATTACAATTTATACGAACGGTCGAGAAAAAAGCGACACGGCGCTCTTCTTTCCACGTCCGGAAATCCAGATCCGGAAGATCCGATACGAAATGGAGAGAAGTGTCGCGAGCAGAAGTAAGAGGAGGCAAAAAGAACGTCGTTGGAAGGACGACGAAAAGTAGATTTGAAACGGTACGTTCGAGAAACAGAGACAGAGAGAGAGAACTGTCGTTTTTACCATCGTTCCAAAGTGCACATTTCTGTAAGACGGATCGCGAATCGAAAGATCCGCCCGTTTCTCTCCCCCTTTTATCTCTCCACGTTGCGAGTCAGGCAGCGTGAGGAGTCGTCGTCCACGTCCACACCTATTTCACTCCTTTTCCATCGCAAACTTCTCGATCTTCTCTTCTCGCGTCCACGCGCGCCTCCTCCTCCTCCCCTCCCCAACTCGCGCGACTCGGCCGAGCCGACATTAGCATTTAAATGGGGAGGGGAAGGAGCGCGGTTCCGAAACTGTAAACTCGCGGGCGGTGGATACGTGTGGCGGGTTTTACGCGACGAGTCGGTACGTGAGAACGAGATCCAACGTGGAGGCGCAAGCGGCCTGTTCAGGTGGACGGAGGGGGGAATAGACAGAGGTCGCAAAAGTAACTTTTACGACGTTTTAAGAGGCGTTCGTAACGAGCGCCGGTTACGGTATCCGGTTACAATGGACCGGCCCGTTGTCCCGTATTAGCATTTACACGGGGTTAATTGGCTTTATCGCCGCTCCGTGCCGCGAGAAGATAAAAATACACGTTGCGCGCGGAATCCATTAAACGTGGAAATTGGAGATCGCAGGGGGGACGTTAAGAAAGTGGGTAGATACATATATATATATATACCCAGGGATATCGTAATTTTCGCCTTCGTTCGACCCTCGGTCGACCGTTATCGTCATTTCGGATTCTCGGGGATTCTCGGGGTGGTGGTGCGATGGAACCTCGATGGAAGGTTAAAAAATGAAATCTAGATCCGAGAATGAGGAGGGAACTCGTCGCGGTGTCGAGTGGATGGCGAAAGAAAGCGGCGAGATCGAGTTCGTAATAACTTTTCATCGTGAAAATTCAAACGTGCTGTCTCGAACGGGATCAACCGCTCTGTTTAACCGCTCGATCTTAAACTCGATCCGATTAGGACGAAAACGCGCGTTCTCGCGACGCGATTGATTCCATCGCTAGAGAGAGAGAGAGAGAGAAGCGAGAGGAGGATGAGAAATGGTAGCGGAGAGAGAGAGAGAGAGAGAGAGAGAGAGGAGTATCAGGTGGGAAACAATGGATAAGGTAGAAAGGAGTGGCGAGGGGACGAGAGATGTAACTGCTCTTATTTCTTCTCGGTGGCAGCGTGGCCCGGGCCGGAAACAAAAGGCGATCCGACATCAAACATTCAAATTAGAAAACTCCCCCGCCGGTCCGTTGCCTGGGACGGATTACCCTCCCTCACCCCCTCCACCCCTTCCTTCTCTGTGTTCCCACAGCCCAGCGTTAAACCTTCGCATCCTACTTTTCGCGAAACCACACTCGATCCCAGCGGCCACAGTTGGCCGAGCCGCGTTTAAGCGGCTCCCAACCTACTTTCCCAGGGCCACGATTTTCGACCAGACTCGTGGATCGTCCTCCCTCCTATCGTATCGTATCGCGTCGTATCGCGTCGTATCGTATCGTATCGTATCGTATCGTATGGAATCGTGGTCGCCGCCATGCTCGGTCGACCCTCCGAGCCCACCGTGTTTGCGCTCGCCCTCGTTGCAACACGGTTGCGCGCCCCTATACATATTTGCTCGCGGTCAGAGGCGAGGCTGCGGCGTTAAAACAAGGAACACGAGTATGTCCCGGGCGATCAAACAGGGCCACCGGGATTAGCAGCCCTTTCTTGCGGAGATTAAAACGACCGAGCCACTTTGTCCCGGAGCCTATCTTCCAACCGCCTCGCCCGTTATTAAAATTACCCTTCCGCCCCCCTCTATCTTCCTTTAAACATCCTTACTTTGCCTCACTTTACTTTGCTGCGAGTTTTTCCGTAACTTTCCTGTTTCTTGGGAATGGAAAAAAAAAAGAAAAGAAAAGGGAAAAAACGGCGGATGGAAAATTGGAGCGATTTCGAAGTAGACGTCGAAGATCGGTGGGTTGCGGTGTAAGGTGTTTCCTAAGGAAGAAGAATAGCGGAATACCGGATGGAGATGGTAAAACATTCGTAAGAAGCTTATAAACGCGTAAAAAGTTTCGTTTTACTTTTCGCGAGAGTTGTTGTAGAGAAAACTCGGGCGGGGGATCCTGAAACGTAACTCGCGTATGCGGATTATACGTGAAGTTTTGTTTCGCCGAATGCGTGCTTTTTCGAACTACGTATATTTTCGAGAGCGTTTTCTACTTTTTTTCTTTTTTATACACTCTTTGATACGCTTTATCCGTAACCTATTATCGAGATTAGTCGCGTCGTAAAGCAGCAATCTCGTGGCAATGAATTATCGTTACGACATTTTGCCGAAAATCACGTTGCGAAAGTTGTTCCATTACGCGAGGAGGACGCGATAAAAAGTATCCGGCATATTTTCCAACGCGTCGGAATCCGTTTGGAAAGGAATTCGGACGGTGCGTGGATTACCGCCCCTGAAAAATAGCGAAAACTTGCATCGGTTGCAGACGAACGCAAAGCACGAGCGAGCGAGCTTTCGAAATTTGGTGACACTCGCGGCGAGGCTCATCCTCCATGTCATTCCATGTGTGTGAAATAAATCCGCGTACCAGATGTTCGCGGATCCCATCCCGGGAAAGTTTTCGCGTTCTCAGCGGAAATCGTCTTACTTTTCTCGAGAAAGAGAGAGAGAGAGAGACTTAGGCCGTAACAGATTTCGAACGTTCTCTCGTGCCGACGAGATCTCACGAATTTCGTGTTAATTTCGATCAAAATTTATTTTTCGATCGCTTGGACGATGGTGTTTCGATAAAATTCTTTCTCCCACTTCTCCGGTAAAATTGCGATATTTTCACGGACTCGAGATCGTTGTTGCGTCCATTGCGATAATTCGCGAGGGGGGAAGTTTACTCGTGCAACATCCGTTTAGACGGATTCAACGATAAGATAAAGCGACGGTAAAATTTCGAGAGATATGGATGGGCATAAGCCGCGTCTGACCATACGCGGTATCGTTCTACTTTCCAAGCAGGGAGGAGGAAGGAATCTGAAGTAATAAAAATGTTTCAGAGCGTTTTCGCTTTTACGAGCTCTGACCGGGTAGCCAGTCGAGTCAAAGTCGATTAAGTTTTTCGCGCGCGTGGAAATTCTCTCTCTCTCTCTCTCTCTCTGCCCCCCGTCGTTTTCTTCATTTTTTTCCCCCCTCGTGGAAAATGGAATTCCT